CGAGTGCTATTGTCTAAACCTTCACAACTAGCTGGGACTCCTACAGCTTGCCTAGCTCCATATGTTCATATTTAACAGCTTAACTTTCAGTTTCCAGTATGGGATTCCTGTGGCTTTCTTCATTAGTGTTTGGCCAGGCACTCCACAAACTTCACAGCAGAGGGCCCTTGCTAACATCTTGTAAGTGGGCTCTCTGGTACCCACTTTAACTTCAGTAGTCTTTCTTTCCAGATTGTCTGAAAAGCATCCTGCAGGTTCCTGCACATTCTAGGCAAAGGCTGATTTTCTCCTCGAGTGAGGACTTTGCTCCACGTGTGCACTTCTAGACTTGCCATATGAGGCAGGTTTTTAATTAATCCCTTATACTGCCATTTCTAAACTGCACATAAATATAGACATTCTAATAACTCATACTCCAAGTGAAAATGAACTTTTTGTATAAGGGACCATACTCCTCCTTAATAGCAGCTCTGTAGGCTGCTGTTTCAAAAAGTTAAAATACATTTGTTGATAATAATATGGCTTGTCTATAATTTCAGATAACTGAATAGTTTCTCCCAGTCAGCTGTATATCTCTGAGAACAAAGCACGACAAAGAATACAGTAACCTGTTCTAACCAGAAAACAAGACCTGATCTCAATTTTACAAAACAGTCCAAGAGGGTGCTCCAAGTTTAAACTTTTCCTTTAGTCCTTTGTTAAAAACAGTTTCTCCACTCTTGTTTGACTGCATTTCACTTAGAACTAGGAACTATTTAATCCTATTATTCTTTCGAGTGCACTTCCAGTTTTCTCCATCCAGCTCCTATTTCAACAGTCTCAAAAGAAATGAGACAAACTGATGGTACAGGACACCACTCTTTTGTCTTTCATGTGACACTGTTTTTTATGAAACAGAGTGATCCATACGTAACAGATTAAATCAGAGCAGGTTTTTTTTGCATGTGAAATGTGAACAGGTAGCTGTGATGGTAGTGAACAGACAAAAAAGTGTTGTCCTGTACTTGGAAGAACCAGAGAAAATGAAAAGCTATTCCAGCAACCTAATGAGCACCTAAGCTCTTTAATAGCAAGAGTCTCTTTTTCTCTAATCTGATAATTTTGCTAATGCACAGACTATCTTCCTAATTTTTCTATTACTCTGGTAATAAAAATTATAATAAAAATTACCCAGAAGTACCCACTCACTGCATTTTTCTGGTCCTGTAGTGAGGATATGAGGAGCTTAAATCGTATTTTGTCTGAATTTGGATCTTTACGTAGTCCGTAGGGAACAGCTATCTGGTCTCTAAGAATAGGATGTTCCTTATGCTAAGGGTGCTAAAGGTAGGCACATCAGGAATTTCCAGTCCAAGAAGGGATGTGTGATTTTAAAAGCATATAGAAGGAACAGGGGGAAGGCTGAAGAAGAGATACCTGATAGGGAAAGGAGGAAAGGAGGAAGAAAGAAAAGAGGAAAGAAAAGTAACAGGGATGGGGAAGAGGGAATAAGAGATTCTACGACAAGGATTCTTGGACAATAAGTGATCTGAATAACTGTTTGTACTATTTTTAGAGTGATCAAATATATGTGTTAGGCTGAAATGGATCTGAGGATAAAATCTGTTCTCTTATGTGAATTAGGATCACTCCAATGGGTATTTATTTAACTTGTTCTTAAACATGTGTTGAGATGTGGATTCCCTATAAATGATAAACAGGTCCATCATTTAGCTGTCCTGATAGCAGGGCTGTTTTCAATTAGCATCTAATATAAATCCCCTTTCCTATACTGGTAGCTTGAATTAAAATGAGGTCTAATTTATCTACATCTTTCTTGAAAGATGAAGCCACAAACGGAGAAAAGTGCTGTGGTGAGAACTTCAGGAGACACTACTTACCTTGTCTTTTGTTTCTGCCAAGGAATTCCACTACATTACAACAATTTTTTTGATCATTATTCACTTTGTGATCCACGACACCTTCACACCTTTTTCCATTATTTGCAGTTGTTCTCTGCTTTCTCTTTTTTAATTGTTTAGCACTTTTGGAAAAATGTAATACTTGTGCTTCACGTCTGTCAAAATAAAGACAAGTTGCTGTGTTTCTGATTTAGAAGAATCCTGTTATCATTTCATCAGATCCCTGAATTTATCAAAATGAATCTAAATGACTGCCAAAATAAATCTCTCTCTCTCTCGATATCATATATTTACATGATTATAATATTAAATATATAAGTCCAATTCTGTTCTCTGATATTCAGGTGTAAATACACTTACTGCAGTTGTCCCTCCAGATCCGACCTCATTAAAAGTGAAAATACTGTGTGTGTCTTATTATTGCAGAAATAGTTTATCCAAAAGGAACTATTCAGAGAATACAGCTAGCTTTTCTTTTTCTTTCTTTTTCTTTTTTTTTTCTTCCCTTTATTCTCAAAACAAGACTTCTCTGTATAATGTATTACTTTACATTATCTGAAGGAAAATATTTTGGTATCAAAGTCATGTTCTGGATATGATGCCTCCTGTTCTGAATGTGATGATCAGGGAATTCTCTTTCTCTGCTCTCATATATAAGTACCAGTTATGGTCCATATAACTGTCATTGTTTCAGTAACCTGCAAATTTGTTGCTGTAATGAAGCTTCCCGATAAACAAAGTTATTTTTCTTTATTAAGTCAGTGGTTGGATCTACAGCTGAACAGAAAGGCTTATTGTGTAAAGATCTGAGGTTATATGTAACATATTTTGAAATGCTGTATATGGGCAGGAGAATATAGTCATGGTTACAGCAATGGGCAGGAAATCACAGTTTTGAGTCTTGGCTGTGCCACAGACTTTCTGTGTGACTTTGGACAAGCTACTCTTTGTGCATTAGCTAATAATACTATCTCTATCTCCCAGGGGTGTTGTGAGAATACATTCATTAATGTTTGTAAGGCTCTTGGATGCTATAGCGATGGGGCCATATAAGCACTTAGAGAAACAATCCATTTTTGCAACAATGTGCATCTCCCTGACTAAGGACTTTTTTGCTGGAAGTTTTTCATAGATGCTTGTTATGAATAAATCTACTTTATAATGATACAGTGAGGTTAAACTGCCTTTTGGAGTGCAGTTTCACTTTAGTATTCAGAACAGGTGTAAACAGTCATAAGTTCGAAAGCTGTTCCCAAAGAAAGAGAATACCATTTCATAGTCAGACATTTGAATAGAAAAGATACCTCTCCTGATTTATCTAGTTCAAAACATGGAGGATTATTTACATCTGTATCTGTCTCACAAATAGTTTATTCTATTTTAAACACTTCTCATTACATTGTCTAAACTACCTCCTCAGGCAAGTCATTTCATTGCCTAATTGGCTTTAAAGTTAAACAGTTTGCTCAAATGTCTACCCTACTTTTTGCTTGTGGTTATAGGCTGTGCTTTCAGTCTGTCCTTTCTTTCTGAAATAACCTTCACTCACATGTGTTTGGTTCAGACACTGCACAGTTACAGCAGGTTAAAAAGGTATTGCTTTAGTGCTGATGTGAGGTAAATTGGTAAGCCACTCTAACTTGATTTGATAATCTGCCTGGCTGAGTGCTGGTCAGTGTTAAAATCTGAATATGGGGTTCAGCGCATTAGCACCAAGGAACAGAAAAGAGTATTCCATATTTTCAAGGCTTTTGTAGAGGACTTGGTGAGAGATTTCCAATCTAGGGGAAAACGTTCTGCTAAGACTTCATAAAAGATTTTGTTTTGCTATAACTTGGGGTTTTTTTATTTGTAGAAACTAGTGGCAGCAGACAAACTGTGCAAGTAAGAGATCTAGAATAACGTGAGCAGTCAGTGAGGACAATAAATGAGGGCTATGCAGCTTTTGAGGCTCAGAAAACAAGACATCTGTTGTGCTTCCATGAAAAGCTTTTTAATTTGAGGGCTGAGTTCAACCAAATTGTTTATGAAAGCAAGAGATAATTAGAAGATCGAGACCTTATAAATGCCCCAATGATGGGAACAAATATTATGTCCTTTCCTACTGTATTAAATGCAGAGAAATGACACGGTCTTAAAAAGTGTCCAACTGTAGGAAATCAGTGAATTGCAGTTAATTACAAGATGTAAACATACAGGAGAACAGGTCTTATTTGGTTCATGAGATTGCTTGCTTGCCGTGAAATCCATCCACTGTTGTTGTTTGAATATGTGCTGAATAGAATTGCTTTTAATAACATTCCCATATGAGTGATAGTGTAAATGCTTCTCAAGATGACTGTTAGTTTAAGCTATTCCTCACAATGCAGGAGAACAAAGCTTTGTAATTATTTTTTGGTTTTTTCTTCTCTCTATGAGCACTGATGTTGAATGGGGTTGATATCCTGTAGTATTCATACATACATAACATATACTACTCTGGATAGAAGAACTAAAAATGAAAGAAAGAAGTAAACTATACTATTGCAGTGTTGTAAAAACTTATTACAAAAGGACCCACAAATATCAACTCTCAATCTTCTTGAATGCATAACCATCAGGCTGCTCCCAGCTTCATGGATTGTTGTTTTCCGGATTTAGCTAAAGTCTCAGTACAGTTGTCTTTTCTTTCAGTTTGTCAGTAAATGCAGGACCTGTTTTAGGGGATTCTTAATCAGAATTCCGAATTTTATAATATTACTTGATGCAGGATTGAATAAAAAGGTATCAATGAAGTCAAGGAGAGGAAGCTTCATTTCACAATTGTTTGTGAACCAGTATTTTGCCTCAGTTGTTATATACCCTAACATGTCTTTTGAATTTTTAGTTTATTCATGTTTGTGTTTATTGAGCATTATTTTAGTAAAATTCTTTGTTACCAAAATTTCCTTTAAAAATACATTTTTATAGTGCAGCAACACTAAAATATCTACCAAAATGAGGAAAAATGTAACTCAAAGGATTACTTTTATCTTCTTAAAATTAGGGAATTTTTATATCTTGTGCCAAACAAATCCTCTTTGAGACGCTGTGTGCATGACACAAAAATAATTGGGATGATAAAGATTACTATAGTCTGAAAAAAAAAAAAAGAAAAAAGATACGTGTTTACAAAATTCAGTTCTGATAGTCAGCTAATTAAAAAAATATTATCACCACGAACCATGGAAAATTCAAATTTCTGTTAAAGAAAGTTCTGTCTTATGTTGTGTCTGTCCAAAAGAAGATTACACATCTTCAATAGTATACCTGGAAAAGGAAAATAAAGCAGTTAAACATACTGAAGCTCTTACAGTTGCATTACTTGGTTTTTGTCACTGCCTTCTCAAGAATGCTTCTCTATGTAAGAAGCAGCGGGATACATAATCTGGAAAGGGTAAAGCCTTTTTCCTATGATAAAGTAAATTGCAGCTATTTCCTACAATAGGAGGTCATTGGTCATATACTGATTCTATCTATTTCGATAAGACTACATTTTGATAAATATCTTACCTATGGTATGTCTGTAGAATTGATACCAGTTGCACATGTTTACTTCAGCAAAATAACTTCTCCCTTGCTGATCTCTAGGTGTACTTAATACACAATTAGATGTTATCTTGCTCATACTATTTGATGCTTCAGTTTACTACATAAAGTACACACCTGCTTCTCATATTGCCCCTTATATTGTTCTGAAGTGATTATGAAAACAAAATATTTTAAAACCTAGTGGTTCCTAATGGAAGAAAATAAAAATCTGTTACATGTAGGCAAAGAAAAAACAATACAAAATGTGGTTGTCATTTAAAATAAATCTAAGATCTCCTTTTTAACCATAACAATTATTCCAGTAAGTATACTGCTTTTTGCTAGACCCTCATTTCTAGAAGTAATTGTCATGTGTTTTGGTGATTTGATTTGTTCTGATTTAATAGAATTCCATTAGTTTTCTGTGAAAAAAAAAAGATTTTTTTTCTATCCATGTTTCTTCATAAAATTAAAAAAAATCCAAAAAGCAAGCTGTATCTGGATCCAGAATTTTGTGCATTAGACTCGAAGTTCTTATTTAACACGGTTTTACTAGGAAGGCTATAACTAGGTAAGTGCTGTGTACTATAGTATAACTGCTTTGTAGGGAAGATATGAATACTTAACCTTTTTCAAAAAGAAGAGGAGAGAGTGGGGAGAGAGACTGTTTTACTAAGTTTCATTTACGTCAGATGCAACTGGATGTGTTTGGTTAACTTTGCATCTGAAATGATGCAAAAAAACTCTTCTAAAAATCAGTGAGAGTCAATTTTATGAGTACTATTCTCAGCATCTTAAAGTAGCTGTTAGATACAGTAGGGTGACTGTAAGAGGAAACACCAAAGTCTTCAGTTCTAAATCTTCAGGTGTGCACGCTGTTAGACCCACTGATGTTATGTAGTTTGTTCTGTGTTCGTTTCCTTTTGCATTTTCAGACATGATTTCAATTGAATCATTTATGGTTCTTCCATTCAGATTTTAACAGCTATTTTGGAGCGGATAACCCTCAATGGCTGTATATGAGACATTGCCCGGGGTGCTTCCAAGATGCTTTTGAGCTGGGTAAGGAAATCACTGAGTGTTGACACATTCTCAAAGCACTATGGCATGGATTGAGAGCATATGGTTTATAAACTGTGTTACTGACCTATTATTCTGTACTTTTCTGACAGAATAGACTATACTAGTTTCCTCTGAAATGCTAAACAAAACTAAATAAACATTTTCTTGGTAAAAAAGAAAAGGTAAAAGTATTTAAAAAACCTAAATACAGTATATAATCTGTATGTGGTAATTCGTACATAAAAACTTCAAATCATCGTTACACACTTCTGATATGTCTACTTCTACTATAGTAGCCATTCAGTGTATAATATTATACTAATCTAATGTCACATTAGCACTATATTAGTACACCAGTGAGGTAAATCATACTCAGATTTTTACTGTTACTTTCAGGTCAAAGCTGTTAGTGCAGGCATGGCTTAACCAATATATGAGTTTAAGACTTACACTGGCATTCAAGCTGTAATGCCTGTATCATCTTTACTATCTACATATTACCTTATATACCCCAGTCAGGAACAATTAGTTATCATGACTCATCTCCCCTTTCACATATGTTCACAGGCAACTGAAAACATATGGGCTTGTGAACTTGAGCCTGTGCAGGAAGGACAGTACAGACATGGGCTGTTCATATGGGGCTTTCACTGAGTGTGCACTAAATGAAGAAATCAGAGAAAGCTTTCTATCTCTTATTCAATAGCCTGCTGATAAGTATGATGACTGGGAAAGCCCAGCATAGGTGTGATGAAAAACCTCCCTGGACCTGGCACTCAGCTTCACTCCTCTATTTAAGGTTAAGCAGTGTCCAGGGAGAGTGTATATTCTGCTATAGAGAAGGATTTCTTACAATGTTTGTATAATGCTCTTTGTAATGTTTTATCCAGCTGAAATCCAGCTGAATCAGCTACACTATCTCCAGGATTATTACAGAAGTTAGTTACGGCTGTGCACTGTCACTCCCCATGTGCCAGCAGTCCCATTTTAATACCTGACTTTTTTGTTAAATGCCAAAATCTTACATGTTCCATTTCATGTTGTAATTAAAGCTTTCTATTTTAAAACGATGTAAGTATGCAGAAAAATGGTTCCTATTAGAACAGCATAATTTAAGACAAAACTAAAGAGGTTGCTTACCTCTTAAAGCAAGCTTTCCACAAAAAGTTTTGTGAAAAGGTGCTATGTGGCAGCTGCTTCATTAACTGTAGTAAGTTATAGGCCTCCTGAGGTATCTGTTAAATAGAAGAAATAAGCTTCCTACAAAAACAAACAGACAAGCAAATAATGAATAGGTTGTGTATGCAAGAGAAGGTTATATTAATCTGAAGCTCCTGCCATTGTCACACCCAGGTGTGAGTAGATGGGCCTCCAGTGTGTTAATTCTACAGGGTCTGGTAATAAATCTCAGATTAAGTTTCAGTAATCCATTTTCATCCTATGAAAAAAAAAATTGTCTAATAAATTAGTATTAACTGGTCGTATTTAATAATAGCTAGAGACTTCCTAATATTTTTCTTTTTCTTTACTATCAAGAACTAGTGGACTATATTATACATGAATGGCTTGTACAATGATTGTTTTATATTTCAGAATCACCAGCAAGTTTGTGTTCTCAGATTAAAGACTGTAAATTTAAAAACCATTTCATCTTTACGTATGTCTGAATACACACCCAAAAGAAACTTAATATATAAAATTCTGTGTCTCTTTTAATGTCAGTCTGATGCAGGTGTAGATCTCTTGAAAACATGAGTTTTCAGGTAAAAAAAAAAGAGTGCCATAGTGGTAAACTCATTTTAATTCATACTTAAAATGTAATAATTGTTAATTTTGTGCATGTAACAATTTTCAACTGTTAATATTTGAGGGTTTGAATAATTTTAAAGAATCTGCACTTAACATTTGTCTGAAAAATATTTGTTTCCCCTCTCCTAGCCTAATAGGAACAAAAGATTACTTCTTCCCTCAATAATATCACCCAACATGCTCAAACATTACATAGGCAGTTTTTGTCTCTTCCTCATGCATTCAGAACCTGTTCTAACTTACCGTGGAGGTGCCTGGTTTGTTTTGGATATGCTCCACCTTTTCTGCAGCTCCCCTTTCTACATACTACAATAAGAATCACTAATGGAAAGAATTAAAAGTGGCCATTATGGCCTGACCACAGCTCCTGATCAATTTTTGTGATATCCAGGTTTTGAGATGGAAAGTCAAAAGCTAAAGAAATATAAAGAAGGTTCTCTGGTTAAACTTCAAACAACAGATGAAAGAGCTTATTGGTTAAGTTGCCAGTGAGTATGAGTTTCTACAGTAGAATTCATTATAGAATCGGGATTTTTTTTATTTTTCCCTCTCCAATAAGATGAGAGGAAGCAACAAACATCACAAATCTATTAGCTTATTAACTTTTCCGTACAATGACTGCTATTGGCCATTCCATAAAGGTTTGCTGTGATGTGACTCATAGAGTTACTGTGTGTTCAGCATGGCTTTCTCTGTGGGTCTCATTCTCAATTAAGGACTTCCTGAATGTTACAGCATTTTACATGTGTAGTTTTTGGTTAGACCTCCAAGAATTGATGCTGGAAATTATGCATAATAACTAAATTCCCTTAATTTCATGTTTAATCATCCTGGTTATAATACAAATCCTATTTCTAAAAAAAAAAGGAGTAAACAATTGTATTTTGAGAAGTGTTTAAAAATCCAGATGATTTCAAAATATATAAAAAATAAAAAATATAAGGATAAGCCACTTGATTTCATTGTGATTTTTGTAGTCATTGGAATACTTGAGCCTATGCCTCGCACACCAGTCTTAACTGTGAGTTTCAATAGTTGTACGCTCTCTCTGAATTATCATAGAATCATAGAATGGCTTGGGTTGGAAGGGAGTTTCAGAGATCATCTAGTCCAAGCTCTCTGCCATGGGCAGGGACATCTTTCACTAGGTCAGGCTGTTCAAAATCTCATCCAACCTGGCCTTGAACACTGGTATCATTTCAAGACAATAATCTTACAACTGGAGGCAGGTAGAAAGGCCCTTAAGACATTGTACAATCTCTCTTTGAGATTAGGAGTTCTCCTTTTGATGTAAATTCCTAACTATTCAGGTGTTTTTAGGTGAATGAAGTCATATTTGAAGACAAGAATAGATGAAAGCTATAGACAGACCAGAAGAAACTGGGAGCAGGAAAGGCTGGGGAGACAGATGCTGCAGTAATACAAGTTCTCCATTAAGATATGTGTGGTTCTTTAAATTAAATTATGAGTTTCTTTTTCCTCTCAAATATAAAACTATCCATAGGCAGCCATATCATATGTAGTCATGTATCACAGAAATTAAATCACATCATTTAGCTGCCTCTTTCTTCAGACATTAAAATATTTCTTCCTGAACAGGTTGTGTGAAAACTTGGTACATCTCATATATATATAAAAAAAAATTAAAAAATTCTGCCCTGGAAGGCAAGAATGAGTTTCAGCACTGCAGATTCTTCACAGAGTATATGCTGCCTGGCTCCCTCCTCACTGCTAGTTCATTCATTACAGCTCATATATTTTCTCATATGCATACTGGCACTATAGTTCCTTGGGATCTGTACTGGTTGCAAATACCATCAGTGTAGGAACTGGATTTTTTAAAGCTCTAAATTTTTTAATCTCAGATGCATTGAGGTTTTTCTATGTAGAAAATTTCCCAGGTCATAATGCTGTCATTGTTCTCGGTGGGAAACCTTAATTGCAGAGCTAGTTGGATAAGAGTTGGATTAGCTGGCAGAGTGTTGTCTGGAAAATCTTTCAGCTGTGCAATGTTATCACTTCCCCTACGTCCCCCCGCCCCCACCCCTGAGGATTCCTAGCCTACTGCATTTGGTGAGATACATATGTTTTCCCCAGCTACAGGAGCTGTGAAGGGTTCCTCTGGGATATCTAAGTATAAATACCCAAGTGTGTCTTCAGTTGCTAGGTTATTTTTAGTCAATGGGTGGTTACTAAGTCATCTATAATTGTGCTGTTAAATGTGTCAGAGCAGCTACTGCAAATCGAGGTGCTCCCTGTAACAGGTTGAGCATATAAAATAAAATGAAAGAGGACAAAAGCAACATTTTGGAATTGAGCTGTTTAAAGATCTGAATTATCGAAGGGGGATTGCGTGGTGGACAGATATAAGAAGGATGATCCACAAGTACAACATGGATAGGGAAACATGGAGCATAGTTTGACTATACTACACATAGTACCTGTAACTGGCATATTATGTCATTTCAGATACGTGTTTTGGGAAAATTTCCCAGTGGTTCAAGGGATAAGAGGGGTCTTACAGAACCTTTTACTTCTTCTTAGGCAGGTCACTTTGTTTGTAGTGGCCAAAAACTGTTACCAACTAGTGACTGCTATGTGGGAGAACGTGCAATGAGTTCCCAGTGGACAACTGTCTACGTGGCACAAACTGCTAGCACAATTCTTTCTCTGTAAATAGAAAAGAGAAAGAAAATCATACCCGAATAGAAAGCCAGTAAGATGGCAGGAAGAAGACATGAACAGCAAAATAATGCAACTGAAAAGCAAAATGAAACAAAGTTACTTAAAAAAGCCCGTAAACCATCAAATGTTCTAAGTAAACATGCACTGTAGCAAGGAAATTACACATTGGTTATTATAAATTACCTAGACTATGCTACCCCTTTTATGGATCTGCTACTAGGAGCCAGAACAGGAAGCAGGGTATGGTCTGTCAAAAAATATTAAAGACATATTAATGTATCACCCAGTTTGGTAAGCGAAGGAAAAACAGGTGAAAAATTGAGATGTTCATGAAAGGATATGGTCAAATGGATGTGTATTTGTGGTTCCTATGGTAGCTGCATCGTGTCACAAACCAGAGATTAATAGCATCTCTTTAGATATTAATTTCTACTCCAGTGGCACTTGCCCAGCATCAGCTGAAGATCAGGGATAAAATTTTGAGGACTGCTGTAGTTCTGACTAGCTCAGAAGCAAAGAAATGCCAGCCATTGGTATGCAGAGAACAGAGGGATTAAAAAAAGACTCAAAGGCTGCAAAAACTAGTTGATGGAAATATATCCATCTGTATTCGTTCCTATATATTCAATATATCATCTATTTTGATTAGATTCAAAATGGAAAAGGATTTATAATACCACTTCATGCATATGTGAAAGATGAACTGGGTGAAATTCAACAAAATAAAATGTTAATCTTAGCATCAGGAGAAACATTCCAGCTGAGAGAACCACTGGGCTGGAATAACCACCTCAAGTGACTGGTGACAGACTATTGCCTGAGTAACTCAAAAGTAACAAAAATGAAATCCAGTGGGCATTGGCAAAGGTTTGGTCTGGATAAATTAATAATAGCTATTGTCTGCTCTATTTTTTTTTTCCAAGACAGTAGTAGTTTCCAAAATCATTAGTGAAAATGGGCTAATGTCATATCTTGTGCTCCTGCATTTAGATCTGCATTGGCTGTGCATAATTTGGGGGTCTATTGCATGAGCAGGAATAAAATAATTACACAAAAGGCCTTTGACACATATGAAAATACTAGGGCCTTAGTTATAGGTATGTGAAATACAATCTGAATGTGACTGTTTTCCAGAAATTTTAGCGTATTTTTATTTATAAAATATCTTAGTAGTGAAGAATAAATCTTACAAAGTTTGGTAGAATCTTTTCACAAAAATAAATGAGAGTATAGATAATTTTTTTAAATGTTTAGACTTGAGCAAAGGCTGCTATGGAGTTCCAGTTTTAGTAATTCTGTAGAACTCATTGAATTTTTGGTAAAAAGAACAAATGAGCTGTATTTCCAAAAGAGAACACACATATGGAAATTATGCATTTCATTTTTGCATGGCTTTCCTGTAAGATCTCAGAAGAACTTCTACCATTTACACATTTGCTTTTGCTCCTTGATCATCAGGAAAATGCATTCCTCACTGCTTTTCCCAGCTGCAAATGTCTTCTGTATCAGAAATGTCTTCCAACGCCATCGCCATCCTTTACCAGCTTTCAGGTGTTGAACGTTGCTCCTTTAACAGTAAACACAACTGGGAAAGCTCCCATGGAGTGGTTCCCCAGCAGGAGCTACTGCTAGGATCACAGCCTTTTGCCTCTGTATTGCTGGAGATGGATGGGGTTGGAGCTCTGGACAAAATCTGGAAACTCACAGTGAGATAGGTCTGTAAATCTGTCATGGCCTAAGCAGCTTAGAAGTTGTTTGAGAGGTCTTATTCCATCAGCTGGGGAGGCAAATCTTAATAGACTGAAAGATAAAGGGGAATTGTTATCAGTGAAATTTATTCAGAAAAGTCTTCCAGAGAAGTCTACACTGGTAACTTGAGATATCTTTAATATTTTATAAATGTTTATGGAGGTGACAAGTAAAGGAATTGAAGATGGATATTTTTGAATCGCCCTATTTGAAAAGTCCAAAGCTATTTAGAAAACGCAAAAACCAGAGTGAACCATATGTAGTACAGCAAGTGGCGGCGTTGCCAGGTACCACTGTCCTCTCAAATGGGAAGTTTTCTGGAATTCCTTGTTGCTATGAGACTAAATATCTCTGTACAGTGTGAGCACTGAAACAGATTTTGCTCCCACTTACACTAGTGTGTGTGTAGAGCGACTGCCCTGTGGCCAGGGAGCACAGTGCCACATTCTGATATCATGCTTATGGAAGGCATCCAAATACCAGGAGTATTTGTCTAATTCAGAAGCGCAAAGACGTAAGACTAGTTTAAAATGGGCAAAGGGCTACCATCTTGCACCTCAAGAGGAGCAAGGAGCAAGCAATTTGGAGATTCTGACCCATTGACGAGGAGTCTTCATACAGTTTTAGTCAAAAAGAAAAATAACGGGTAAAATTCCTCAGAGGATTTCTCTCTAAACTAAGCATGTTCAAACTCAAAGATACATATTGCTTATCCTGGGCTGTGTAAACTCTTAAGTTTGACACTTTTAAAATCCACTTATCTGTGGACTTTAAAGCTGCTATGTCGTTGGGGGGGGGAAGGGAGGAATGAATATGTTTGCTTAAGTATAAAAGTGTGAATTTCCTTTAGCTACTCGACACTTTTTTCTTTCACCCAGAAGACAAATAAACAAACCCCAACTTGAACTGTGCCCAAGCATGGCCAATTTCTCACCAAAGTGTACATTTCAGAATGAAAGATTTACAGTCGAATTTCTCTAGTGTAGCTATGACATTGCTTTAACATTGCCTTGCTGTAATCTTCAAATATAGTAAATGCAATATATGGCTTTATAGGGATTTGTGTGAAGTTTAAAATTCAAAAGATGGTTGTTTTTTATATTTGTCTGTGCTATCTGTGAAAAACCAAAAAGCACAGGGATGAATTTAACAGACATCATCAACAGCGAGGGGTATGTTTGCCCAATGAAAATACTGATCTTTTATTAATCTGCCCTTTCAAGCATCTGGAAATCTCCCGGTTTCTTAAAATTAAGAAAGTATTTAAGTATTAAAAAATAAAATCCCCCATAATAAATGCAGACGTGTAACCAAGGCGCTATGAAAACAAAGCTCAGCGCGCAACTATTCCCTTACTCAGTTTAAATCCTCAAAACTGTGGATGTCTATCCCGGAGAAACCAGGGTAGCAAACCGGCCGTCGGTGCGTTATCATCGCTGCACAAGTCGAGTGAATGTACAGCCAAGCTGAGCAGCATCGCAACTTCCAGCTCGTCGCGAGGCTGCACGGCGAGGCTGCACCCGCCGCTGAACCGGGCCGGGCCGGGCCGGGCCGGCAACCCTGTGCCGGCAGCTTCCCGCGGTGCTGCGAACCGCACCTCCTCTGTCCCTGCCCGCGCCTTCTCTGCTGCATCTCCTCTCCCCGCACTGTGCGCCCGCCGACACCCGCCCCGGCTCCGCTCTGCGCTTCCCCGCGCTCCGCCCCGTGGGGCAGCGCCGGCCGCGGTGCGGGGCACGCAGGGGACGCGGAGGTTGCGCGGGGCAGCGACGGCGTTTGAACGTGGGGGGCGCGGAGCCGCCCCGCCCGCGCGGGCCGAGGGTACGGGCGGAGAGCACAGCTCGGGCAGCCCCCTCTGTGCGGCCAGCGGCACTTCAGTGTGCAGCTGTTACCCCTGCCCCGCACCGCACCGCCTGCGCGGCACCGGGGCTCGGTGACTGGGTAGCCCCGTCCGTCGGAGCAGCCCCCGGGTGCGGGGCGCCGCGGCGCGTCTGTCGCCGCCCGCGGATACCCCGGTCCCGCAACGGCGGGGCCGAGCGCGGCGCCGCCGCGGAGCGGTCCCGCATCGCAGCACCTCTCCAGCCTTCCCGCCCCCTCGCCCGGCTGCTCTACGGCAGCCGGCGGCCGCGGCAGGGTCCTTCCCCTGGAGTGGGAGGGCGGTAGCAAAATCACAGCCTTGTTTTTATTTTTTTTTTATTTTTTTTTTTCCCTTTCCCCCTGATTTATGGCATTCTTTCATTTGCGCTCCTGTTTTCCGCGGGGATGGCTGCAGCGGAGGCATCAACCTGTAGACTGAGCGAGCTCCCGCCGTAGCCGGCGCGGCTGCTCGGCGGGCGCGCTGCGGTGCCACCGCCGGGGCGCGGCGCCGGGACAGGGCCGACTCCGCGGGCGAGCGGCGGGCGAGGGAACGGGGCCGGGCACGGCGCCCGGGGGAGCTCCCGGGGCCGGGCGACCAGGAGCTCCGGCGGGGAAGCTGCGAGCCCGAGGGGAGGCCAGCGATCTGTGCCAGAGCCCCCAAGCGGCGCCGCGTTTGCCGGAGACGGCGGGATGAACTGACTCCCCTCTCAAACCCCGCACTAGAGAGCATCTCCGAGCCGGGGG